CTAACTAAACAAATTTAGAGGAATCTTTAATAATCCTCATCATCTTGTTTACATAATTTTGATAATCCAGGATGATCACACCTGAGCCTTTATCAGGGTTCATAATAATTAAACATTTATTACAACGGAGTAATTGAATAATCCTATATTATTCCTTGCTCCACTTGAATTCACGAAATGAAAACAGGCATTTCTTTGCCTTAAGATCACTAACCTTGCTGCTAGATTCAGTTTGAAGTCTGGCTAACTAAACAAAAAGAACTTCAAACTCCACATAAATTCCTTCTTGTTTAATAAACGATTGAGGAATATAACAATCCAGCCCATGTGAAAGTATAGAAAGCACCAGTATGGCCAACTCAGATGAGGAAAGATTTGGAACATTCTGACCAACACTGGGAATAGCAGAATACCCAAAAAATTTTATAAATCAAATGCTGCATCTTATTCTGATGTTTTGACGCAACTCGAGAACGACTGCATACATGGATAAGTGTAGCATAACACACAAAACGTATCCTATCAAAAAAGGAAAGTAAATTTATAATGTTATTCCATAATTGATAATATTTCCTATATAATCGGATCAGCTTCGATAGAAAGTTGTAAATAAAATCTACACCAATGATAATAGCATAAAAAAGAAAAATCGATAAATATAAGCAATCACTTGCTGATATCCCCTGAAGAATAGGCGGACGGATCCATCTACGAAACTCTGGAGTCGGGATGTTGAAGGTAGCATGAATCAGCTAAGTGACAAAATTTTACTCATATTAATCATATATATATATATATATATATATATATATATATATATATATATATATATATATATATATAAATTAAAAAATAAGTTAATCATATACTACACTAAATCTAGTATATCCAACAATTATTCACAATGATTCTTCCCCGCTCCCGTTAGTGACTTGCAAAAAAAACAACATAGTTTACAAATTCAAGTGCCCTTTGGGAGATTGTATCTCTAATAGATTAAATAATATTTATGTTGGTCACACGACAAACTCGCTTTCACGACGCTTGACTCTACATTTGAATGATAACTCTAACATTTTTAGGCATTTAAAACAACATGCCTGTCTGTGTACACAATTCTGGAAAATCCTCGTTGAAAACACAACTATACTTAAATATGAAAACAATAAACAAAAACTAAAAATTCTTGAAGCTATATACATAAAACAATTGAAACCTAACCTGAACAAATAAACTATGAAATCTCCACAAATATTCTTTAATGCCTATAATTGATAACAGAAGCCATTGTTTTTACCAACGGATTCCCATACTTAATACTTCGCGTTTTCACTCTCGCGTGGTCTTGGTCTTGAGCTGCGATGCGATTTTCGCTTCCGCGTCTCGTATACACGAGTTTGTCGTTACTTTGAAATTTTTCATGCATCAAAAAGAGATTATCAGTATTGTTTTGTCCGTGTATTGTATGATATATTGAAAGTAATTATCATCTTTGATAATGGCTTATGTAAGCCGAAAGCTTAGATAGGATTTAAACATGTATCAATATGGTGATTTTCTTTCGTCTTTCAATGATAATGTTATTAAGCTTATCATACAATTGAAAGGAACTTAAAATAGACAAAACTTGTCTATATTATTTAATGAAGCATGCATCAATATATACATATATATACATATATATATATATATATATATATATATATATATATATATATATATATATATATACAAAAATAATAATCACGCATAGAATCAATCAACAATATTTAATGCTATTATTGGCGATATTCATCGCTAGTAGTGTATAATGTATGCATTAAAATACTGTTAATCCATAGAATGATGTGATCCTCATTTATAAATCTGTTGTCTGTTATTTCCAGTTTATATTTTTTTAAAATGCAAGTACTTTCGAATAATACTTTATTCATCCTCAGGCGTATTTTTTTCCGTATAAAATTAAAACTTGGAGACGAAATAATTGTTTGTAGACCGAAAGATGTTTTTTTTTTTTTTTTTTTGAGAATGTGCTATTATTGTTTCCAAGTTTTAATTTTATAAGGAAAAAAATATGCCTGAGGATGAATAAAGGATTATTCGAAAGTACTTATAAATGAGGATCATTCTATGGATTAACAGTATTTTAATGCATACATTATATACTACTAGCGATAGATATCGCCAATAATAGCTTTAATATTACTGATTGATTCTATACGTGATTATATTCTTTGTTTATAAATTATATGCAGCCTAATGTTTTATGTTTATATATATATATATATATATATATATATATATATATATATATATATATATATATATACAAATAAAATAAATCCTAAAGAGCCAGGAACAACCTACCTAGGTTTCGCCTAAACGGATCTTCAGGGTAAGGTTTAGGTAGGTTGTTCCTGGCTATTTAGGATTTATTCCATTTATTCCTGCTCTACTTAGCGTATTGAGCACTCTACGTTTTAGTATTACTACATGCTTGTTTTTTTCTTTGGACTAAAAACTTAAGGCACTGGGCGATTTGTTTCGCCCTGTTCGGATGTTTCTAGTTCTTTCTTTTTTTTTTCCAATTTCTTTCGTCGGGTACCAATTTGTTTTGATAGACTTACAAGTTGTGCTATCCGAGGTTTTTTCCAACCGAGTATTACTATTAGTATTATATATATATATATATATATATATATATATATATATATATATATATATATAATGCTCAAACACTAATATTGCACGGTTATAATTTATTACACTGAAATCGTAATCACGATCCAATTCATCAGACTTACAAATTCAAAAAGAAATCGAAAAATATTCTTACTCTGTCCTGGACATTGAGTTCTACCTGGATTCTATCCTCTTGGGAATTTATATATATATATATATATATATATATATATATATGCATTGACCACTAATATTATATATATATATATATATATATATATATATATATATATATACATTTTTAACATAATGTTCTTCTTTGTTAATGCACTTGATACCTCATTCATCACCCTGATTAATCATTATGCCGTCTACTTTGCTTTTCGAAATTCAACTGCTAACTGATAATATTCATATCTGTAATGCTCATTTACGAGTATGCCCGTCTACTAGGGTGTCTAGCCAATCCCTGTTGTAGACGCCCGCTCAGACATGTTTATGCTTGTTCAACACCCACAGGGCCTACCTGTTGTTTATAATGCAAATATGATGAGTGAACTTTAGTTACAGTTTCTGAGAGGGAGCAAGCCCAGTACGTTAAAACTCTCCGTCACTATGGCTAGCACACCTATCGGCGGCTTCTAAACAGATTTACCAACAATGCCGCACGCTGGGGGTAGTATCTCCAGGTTGATCAATAATTCATCCCTTCGATAAATTGACCATAATAAGATTCGAACCTGTGGCTCATGGTCAAAACGCTACCGTTCTAACCACTTGGCCACGCGTCCACTTTTTTCTTTAATCCTTTAACCCTAGGCAAGGCGATAATGCCACTAAGATGCAAGGAGTTACTGGAAGTGGAAGAGAATGAGAAGTATTTAGCGAAGAGAAAGGACAATAAAAGAACAGGTTTCTGGAATACAGAAGATGGCGATTAACGTTGCATTTCAGTTTTTGAAGAATGTAGGTGGCAGGGAAGCAAGAAATCGGAAGGAAGTTTCACGGGCGAAGAAACTATTAGAATAGAACTTACGGTTCTATCTAGCTATTTCAACAGTAGAACTGTGAGACCTAATGGCCAAACTAGTAGTACGCTTATATTCATGAAATAGTAGTTTTGTAGGCGCAAAAATTTACAAATGGCTTGTTAACTTTGTAAATGAACATTGGCCATATTCTTTGAATGTTATCATGAATGATGTCATTAGTATTTCTTAAGCTTAGAATGTATGGCACAAGGCAGGTATTAATAGAGAAAATAGGTATAAGGAGATAGTGTTCCGTTAGTCACGTAAATAGGGAAGGATATTTTAACTTGAGATTTAACATTTAAATCTTTTTTTTTTTTTGCTTTTAACTCGGTTTGAACACTTACTGGTGGGAGATAGGCACAAGGCGGTTCCATTGCGAAAATAAAAACGTATTAAACCTTTATTTAGCGCCATTAGCGTAGATTAACCAAATATTTCTTCTGCCTCTCTCTTCCGATTTGCTTTTAACATCCCACTCTCTCTCTCTCCGAACCACTTCACTTTGGCATTAACCGGCCTTCATCAATCCGTCCATGTTCGATCTGTTTTCGCCTTCGCAAAGCCCTGGGTTGGCAGGTGTGCTCTGACCAATGACAGATGGTCACTTCTGTGTGAGGTTCCCGCCCTTCCTATGGCCATTCCGGCCACATAGGCAGCTGAAGACTGAAGGATACAAACAAACAAAAGTGTGCGACACGGGAATAAATGGCTCCACAAACAGCCCGAATTGCTTGGAGCCATTTTCGAAAAGACAGAAAGATTTAATGAGACCCAGATGGACACTGGCAGACCACACACCTAACAACCCCTACCCAACTCTACAAAAAGATTAATATTGGTGGATTTGGTAGTGGAAGTGATCAAGATGCAAATATGGTTTGAATGAATAATTGAATGAAGACATACTGGTTTTTATACTTCTTTTCAGTTGTTTACGCATTTTCGGGAAAGTGACTGACCGCGAGGAGAAAAAGGACTTAAACAATTTTAAAGTTACTGTTCCTTCTGCCGATTTACTATAGTGTAAAAATGATCGAACGATTTCAGCAGTTGACTGAATTATTTTGTGTCTGTTGTCAACTAAGTCGCTTTTTTTCCTGACAAGTCACCAACATCGCAATACCAATGGCAACCTTAAGATACGGAGAAACGTAAAAGCGACATTATTCATGAATTTTAGTCTGTAATTCTAATGAAAATGATGCTGGTACAGGACTGAAAATTCAAAGAATATTTTTCTGACTGGATATTCAAAGAATTGATTTCCTTCTGAATATCAAAAGAATGGTTTTCGACTGATAATTGCCAGAATTCAATGAATGGTTTCCGACTGAAAATTTAAAGAAATGATTTTCTATTGAAAATTCAAATAATGTTTTGAAATTGGAAAATATTGGATCAAGAGATTAACCAACGTTCAAGTCTTAAATATTTTGGTCTTAATTTTCGGTTCTAAAAAAAGAAATGGATTTGATTGCCACCAACTGACAATATAGCAGCCATTTTCGTCAGATTCTAGTATAAAACCATATTAAGTAAAATAAGCTATTTTATTTCAGTTTATTTCAAATTGTTTTATAATGTAATGGTTGACAATTTCTTTGTCCTGTGTCAAACCTTTATCTTTATTTTAGACTAATCAAAAATGCTCATAAGGTTCAAGCAAAACCATAATAATTTTTTTCAACATTAACTCGGATATAAAGCAATTTATATTCTAAGTTTGCTTTATTCGTGATATATATATATATATACAGATTAAAAAGCTTTGCATAAATTCCCTTTGGGGCTCTGTAGCCTTCTCTGCATATATATATATATATATATATATATATATATATATATATATATATATATATATATATATATATATATATATATATATATATATATATATATATATATATATATATATATATATATATATATATATATATATACAGAGTGAGAGAGCATGTAATAAATAGCAGGAGTTGTGTTTGATTTTAGTGCAGACGGTTTTTCGATTTTATCTAGGCCCCACGCCTCATTTCACCTCAAGGTTCTAGAGTCCTTGTATATCAGATCCCGTGGGTCTTTACGTTGTAAACAGAGGGAATGCTTAATGGATATGAATGTTATTGGATTCTAGTTTTCTTGAAATTTATATTTTTTTACCTTCCTTTCGTTATATTAATTTAATTTACACGCATATTTTATATCCCATAAAATAAACTTGATAAGGCTGGGACAAAACCGGTTGTTCTTTTTAGCTTTTTTAAAATGCCATATAAATTTTGCTTTTTCTAGCTTTCGTTAAATTTATATTTAATTTTATTAATTTTATATTAATATATATATATATATATATATATATATATATATATATATATATATATATATATATATGAAAAGAAAAGGAGAGAACTGTCAGATTTATAATCCAAACGTCTTTAGCATTTATTTTTTTTTCAAAACAGTGCTCAGTACACAGTAGACCATAATATTATAATTATTTTTTTAAAATTATGTATTCATCGCGACACAGAGATTGCCATGTTTCGAAACTAAAATCTTAAATTAAAATTATTATTATTATTCAGCATCGCTTGAAAATGGAACTGAACTTCAAATTTTAAGTTTAATTTAAGATTTATGTTTTGGTTTCGAAACATGTTAATTTCTGTGTCGTGGTGAATATATTTTTTTAAAAAAAATTATAATACATATATATATAATATATATATATATATATATATATATATATATATATATATATATATATATATATATCTTAGATTGAGTTTTAACTAATGTTCGTTTTTATTTATCAACTTCATTATTCAAAAACTAAAGTACAATTTTATTCAATTCTTAATTCACAATTATTTTAGTGGGGAAAAGTATGACAAAGTGGAATTTTCTCTTTTAATGCGACTACACATTCGTACGGACGAAAGAGAGATGCTGAGAATTTAATATTTTTTAAATGTGTTTTGGCTTCAGAATCTAGCTGATTCTTTCTTCGTTATTTTCGGTTTTGGTTTCTCTCATCTTGGTGATTAAATATTCCACATTATGATGCTAGATCTGCCAAGAATGGTGAAATGTAAGAACGTAGAACGCAAATTTACTCTCGATGATCGAGTGATTAAAGCCCTTTTAGTAGATTTTTTTTCTCTTTAATCAGAGTAGCATTTTTTAAATCAAAATTGTGGCCAGTTTCGTAACGGTGGGCAACTAATGTATTTAAATGTATTGTTTTGTAAAAGATCACTTTTGTGCTCATATTATCTTTTATTTAAAACAACTGAGATTTCTCCGAGGTATTCTTTGTAGCAATTATTACAGGTAGTAGAATAAATTTCTCTTTCAAGTTTCTTCTTAGTTAAAAACTACAGAGAGAAATAACACTTAAACATAGTGATTATTAATGCCTATTACAGTGCTTACTGAAGCAGCACATTCCTCTGCTGATAAGGGTTGCGGCCATATCACGTTGAAACACCGGTTTCCGTACAATCACCGAAGTTAAGCTTCGGTCTGTTCCGTCGGTATCAAATTTTCGAAACCCTCTATCCTCATAATGTGGCTCAGAAACCTCAACTGTCTCTTCCATTTGTTAGGTATTAGTTTCCTTTTCGTTTATATTTCCTCCAAAACTTCCTCATTGCTCTCATGTTTGATCCAAATATCCTCATCATCATTCTGTAGAGCCTTATTTCTGTTGTTTCAAGTCACTTCTTCATCTTTAAAGAGATCCTCCAGAACTCACTGCCATACAGAAGGAAAGATATCATGTAGTAGTTTAGTACTCTTTTCCATGTTTCTAGCGAAAATTTACTATTTCTTAGTACTCTGCTCAGCTTTTGGAAGGCAACTTTGGCTATCCTAATACGCCTTCGGTATTTAGTGTCGCACTTTCCGTCTTCTGTTAATTTCTGTATTTATTAATTAATTTTTTTCTGCATAACTATTTCGAGTTTTTGCATTTTTCATTATTTCACTATTTTTCTTTTTTGTTTTACGCCTTCCTTTTCAGTATAACCTTTTTATTAGTATTATCTTTTTTATTATATTTTATTATATTTTTATTATATTTTATTATTATTATATTTTTATTATTATTATATTTTATTATATTTTTATTATATTTTATTATTATTATATTTTATTATATTTTTATTATTATTATATTTTATTATATTTTTATTATATTTTATTATTATTTTATTATTATCATCTTTTTATTCTTTGTTTCCACTTCTTCCTACCTATTCTACTTGTCGCGTCGCTTTTCTTGATTTTTATTCGTTTCTTTCTTTTCCTTCGCTTGTAAACTATCTTTCTTGTTTTCTTCTTTTTTCTGTGGCCTTTATTTTCTTCCTTCTTATTCGCTATTAGCTTACCTTGATTTCTTGATCTTCCGCGCTTCTCTTATAGCCTTTCTTTTCTTTCGTTCATAGTCTTTTGATTTCTCTTTGCTTGTAACTCTTTCTTCCTTTTAGCTGTTTTCTGTTCGTTTGTAGTCTTTTCTTTCTATTTTTTATTGGTGTCCTTTCTTTCACTTTCTTTGTTCCTTTCTAGATATTTTTCCTTTTCTTTTTCTTTCTGCATTTCGAGATACTTTTTGCTTTTTTCCTTTTCTTGTATTTTTTTTCTTTACTTCTTCGCTTCTCGCCTTTTTTTCATTCTTTTCGTATCTCATTTTCTTATTGTCATATAAACAATTTTATTTTTTTCTTTCCGCCATTTCTCTGTGTTCGAGAAAATGGTGGGTTGATTTATTTATTTATTTTTTGCTTTGGTTACACTTTTGTTATGTTATTTTTCTTTACTTAATGTTTCGTTGTTTCTTCCTTTTTTTTTTTTTATATCCTGCAGCCTTTATCTAAACTCGAACCCTGGCCTCTGGCGACAATAGGAAATGCGTGACAATCACAGCAACGAATAACATTCTCATGATCTCTTGCCGCCGATTCTACTATTTGTTCTCTTTTGCAATTATTCTCATTTCTTGATCTCTTTATTTTTCCGTCGATTTTTTTTTTAGAAGTGGCCTCATTCTTTTTTTCTTTTGCTTCTTTCTTTTAGTCCTTTTTGCCTTCCGTATTTTAAAACGTTACTGGCTCCTTATTTTAGATTGTTTTTATTTCTTTACTTTATTTTCTTTTTGTTCGATTTTCTTTATTTCTATTCGTATATTCTTTCTCCTTTCCCGTTCTTTATTTCTTTCTTTCTTTATTTATTTATTTAATTATTTCCCGTTCTTTCTATGAGACTACACTTTGTTCACACAATCCGATTCCTTCTTTATTTAATTCTGTTATTCTCCTATTTGTTTCTACACCTCTTTTTATTTGACTATCAATTTTCACTCTCTTCCCTAACTCTTCCTCGCTTTCTTTCTTTCTTTCTTTCTTTCTTTCTTTCTTTCTTTCTTTCTGTCCTTTTCCCTTCTCATACTCTCATTCTCATTTTTCATTTATCCCCCACTCCATCTTTCTTTTTTTATCGTTCTTTCTTTGTTCCTCTTTCTCATTCTTTCACCTCTGCTCTCCTACATTTCTTTTGTTTCTTCTTCTCTCTCTCTCTCTCCCTTCTCTCTCTCCCTTCTCTCTCTCTCTCTCTCTCTCTCTCTCTGTTCTTCTTTCTCATCCTCCATTTTCTCCAAGTTGAACTGTTTTACGCGGAGGGTCAAAGACTCTGCGGACGGCCTGAAGAAAATAAGAAACATCAGAAAAAAAAGGACGATCCGAACGGAGGCGTGAAAGGAGAAGGCTTAAGAATTGGGGTGACTGAGGTCAGGGTTCAGTGGAAGGGATTGGGAACAGGATGGTATGTCGTTATCAACATACAGGAGGTCAGTGGTTGGCTGCAGGCATAAAAGTGGAACTTCAAAGACGGGTTGCAATTATGGCGGACATGGCGAAAAGGTGTGCAAAGGAAGAGAAAAGAAGGAGAAATAACGTTGAAATTAGTGAACGGAAGGAAAGAGTATAGAAAGGACGAAAGAAAGACGTAATAAAACAAGCGAATAGAGGGAGAGGATTGAATATAGGAGTAGAAGAGGAGAAAGTGCGCATATGCCGAAGAGAGAAAGGAAGACAAAGAAACCTGTAGAAGAAATAAAGAAAGAATTTTTAGAAAGAAAGAGGTGAGGCTAATGAAGGAGAATTGCGATTATAGGCCTAATAATGGAAGAATTAAAAATGAAAAAAAAATTAATGAAAGAGGGAACGTGTGAGTAGGAAAAAGGAAGAAGAGAAAAGGCGAAGTAAGAGAAAAAGAAGAAAGTAAAGAAGAGAGTTGAGAAAGAAAAAGAAGTAGAGGAGTGAAAGAGGAGTGAAGCTGAAAGGTTTAGGAAGAAGAAGAAGAAGAAGAAGAAGAAGAAGAAGAAGAAGAAGAAGAAGAAGAAAAACAATAAAGAATCAGCAAAAGAATAAGAGAAAAGGAAAAGCTAATCGAATAAAAATAAAGTAAACTGCATAGTTAAAGTCCAGAATGAAGTCTGTTTATCTTCATAGCGCTTGAAAAGGAAATAAATCAATTAAATAAAATGCAGGAAAATAAAAAGAAAAAGAATTTGTGAAGAAGCATCAAACGAAAGAAAGATTGGAAAGAAAGAAAACGAAGAACACTAAAGAAACAACTAAAACATGGACGCCCAAAGGAACGAAACAGGAATCAAACGCTGGCGATCGGTTGAAGAATTTGCAAGTAAGATTTTGAGAAAAGTTTTCCCTCCTCTTTGAACACTCTTTAGTCCATAGTGCAGTTCTACTATTTCGCTTTGATTTTGCCGCAGAGATGCCAAAGCTTGCAGATGTTATTAAAATGGTTGACGAAAACCGTGGAACAGTAGCAGAGAGACAAGGAACGACAAATTGAAATGGTGGTAAATGGTCAGTGTGGTAACGACGTTAGCAAGATGTCAGCTTAACCGACAATGGAGTTATTTACGGATGCCGCGTGTTAACGTGGGTCTAAAACAAGGGGTTTGGCGACAGTGCTATTCATGGGGAATGCACAACACCAAACCGGCGAATAGAATATCAAAGTGGTAACAATAGAAGCAATAAATAGCATGAGTTCAAATGTTTAAATGGCGCCTGAAATAATAAACTTCTATGTAACGACAATTAAGAAATTTAGGAATGTAAGCGCCGACCGTGGGAGCGACCATCTTGCAGTGATATGTAATCTCTGAATAAAAACTATGGAAACTAAAGAAGGCAAATCAGGACCCAAATTGCAATACAACAGACTAAATGACACTAATTTTAAAGTGATCTACACTGATGCCGTTAATACCAAATAAAATAAACTCAATGGGAATGAGAATGGAAATTTAAGGTGAGACATTAATAGAAGTTTTACTGACATCAACAAACGAGATCATTACAAGGATAACTAGAAAGGGAAAAAAGCAGTGGATGACAGATAAAATTCTCGACATGATGAAAAAGAGACAACAAACAATGAAGTAGAAGGTGTTCTAAAAACTTGGAACTATTTTAAACTTAATTCACATTTAAAGTCGGTTCAAGTTATTGGAACACCATTTACATGTAATGAACTCGACTGGACATCGGGATTTCGGGTCACTATCCATCACACCGCCCACACATCAAGTTTTTATCCATGGTTCTCATTGAGAAGGAAAAGTGACATCGGTGGGGGTCTCGCATCCCCTTCCGACCATTATCCGGAAGTTGGCTATGGAACCGTAGCTCATCTCGTCCTCATGACAAGGATAAATTCCGCTGGCCACTGGAAGGGTTTTCATTATGGGGATGAAGGAGACGCACCTGCCCTAGTTTTGAAATCAGAGTGATCCTTCTCTTAGATATACAGACAACCAAGGCTCATGAACTCAGTCTACCCCAGGAGAAATATTTAAATAATTTAAATGATATTTAAGAGGGGAGATTTGTCTATATTTCTGAAAATTAGATATTGTAACTATTTACATCATTCGGACTGTTGTCCTCATCTTTACTGACATATTCACGACGCTTCGGCCGTTATACGCCCCGGTCTTCATCAGCTGATATACGCTGGAATTACGAACTAGATGACCCGGTGTATAAAAGCGTTGGTTGAAGTAAGCCAAAAAGTGGCCAAAAATAGTTAAAAGTAATAAAAGTATCTGTTTACACTATTTACATTATTCGAATTGTTATCTTGATCTTTATTGACAGATTCACGACGTTTCGACCGTTGAATGCTCCGGTCTTCTTCAGGTCATATACGCTGAAATTTTGAACCGAATCTTTTATTTAGTTCACGGGGGTAGATTGTTCTAATTCCACATGCCATGCCTTTTTTTTTTTTTTTTTTTTTTTTTTTGATATCTCTGTTTCAGTTAATTCATTCAACTCTTTGAGTCAAGTCACTTTCGGATTCTATATTCAAATCTATATGTACACAGAATAAACTGAAGGGCTAAATAATTAACGATAACTACCGAATAAGGTGTAGTTCCTCCCTTCGACTGAATAACGGTGGTTGTACGACTCGGCAAGAAGTATTCGAGGTGGTGGAGTCATTACGTGATCATATCCATCTAAGCATGTTTGAGGGTTGTCCATCACTAAATTACTTGGCTACAGGGAATTTAGGGATATCAGTAGTACATTCTATATGTGCTCAATGGGATTTAAATCTGATGAGCACGTGGGCCTTGGAGTCAGCCGAATGTCTCTGAAACGATTCACCTGTGCAGGATGGCATGCATAAAAGGGTCAGCAATAAAATCTATGCATGTCACACCTGTCAAAACAGATTTTTAAGTTCACTAGTGGCTTTTACAAATACCATTCTTGCATAAAACCTTACTGACAAGTTGGATTTATAGTGTCATGCAGTGGCCTCCACACACGAACAAGACTATCTAACCAGGCGACAGGACGATGGTTGTATATGGTCACGTGGAGATATTATCTAACCTAAGTGCGGCGCAATACCTAATGCTATAATGTCAATAACTTTTTGTTTAATAACCATTTGTTTAATGGTTGATTTTGTTTAGCGGCATATCAACCCCTATGTACTATTTAATGACGAAATCTAAATATCTTGAACGCAATTGCATGCCTTCAACTACAGATAAAATGTATTGTTCGTAATTTCACCATAAATAGGTATTGTTAGTAAATTTTTTTATAAAACATGTACTGCTAATATTTTTACTATAATCATTTATTTTTATACGTTCTTAATGTTTGTTTTTTTTGTGGGGGGTATGGTTGGGGCCCTAGTAGGTGGTGGGGTGGCCCTGTGAATAACAGTAATTAAGAGGTGGTTCCAAACTCCTCAAAATCTTCTGATCAGAGGTCTTGCTGCCGGATGTAGTTCATCGTCATACCCAGGACGATTCACAAACAAAAAATCAGAACACACCTGCACCATTGAAGCAATTAGCACAATACTTTGTTGATAGGCTGGATCCATAAGCATATGCAGACCCCTTCACTCGATTGGCTGTCCAACAGAAAAGTTAGAGATCTGACACATCTGACAAAAGGTATCATGGCAATAGTTTCCGTGATCTTCTTTTATGCACAGTGTTCCTTCAGGACATGGATCTCGAAAACTTCCCATCTTTTGTAACTATTACAAATATTTGGCAGGTTGCTCGTTATTTTCTTCTATCTCTATTGTCTTGTGAGTGTTAAATTCTCTAAGCTCGCTTTCCTCATTATGTGTATCAGAAACTTCTTTTGTTTCCATTTTCCTTAAGATTTCCTCGTTGCGTACATGTTTCAGCCATGATATTTTCAGCCATGATATTTTCAGCATCCTTCTATAGAGTAAAATTTCTTTTGTCTCGAGTTTTCTCTTCATCTGTGAGTAAATTGTTCAGCATCTCGCTACCTTATAGAGAGGGACTGATATTGCATAACAGTTCAACTGTTTGTTTTTCTTTTCTTGCAAGAAATTTCCCTGCTTCTTAATATTTGTTTTGCTTTTAGAAGAATTCCAAGCACGTTTGGATTTCGGTGTCACATTTGTTAAAACACTTGAAGCTATCTAAATTTCTGTACTTACTTCATTTTGATATTTTCTGGTTATCTTGAAGGCCCGTAATCCGTACCATAGTGCCAGTAATGTTATCCTTGTTAGTCGATGATCAAGAATCCCCATGAAAAGCGTCATTCGTTATACAGGGCGTCAACTGATGCGTTGAGTTTGACTAGCTTAGGAATGGCTTATGTCTTGTAAAATCCAATACAACCAAAACCAAACTAGTAACGTTCCATCGCTACCACCAACGAACAGACCCTAAAAGTTCACCTATTACGATAGAATGGCCTCCTCTCATGGAGCCTTGAACGTCTATTGGGAGATCTAGTGAACATCATATATCCGAACTAATCATATCCGAGTTCATTATATTAAAATATTATTAATTGTACGCGTCCAATAAGTATTTGAAGCGCTATACTCTATCTTTACAAGGGCAAGATCAGATCACAAATGGTGCATTTCTGCCATATCTGGAATAAAGCTACCCAGTCCTCTATTGCCTGTGTTGATAGAGTTCAAAAGCGTTTACCCTGCTTTGTGAGTGACCAGCCTACAACCACTTTTCGCAAAGACGAAACGCCATGAACCTGTCGCATGTCCTTTCTGGCGTAGGCCAAGGTGACTCACTGGAGGAAGGACTGGTTTTGTAAAATTCCATATGACCAAAAACAAACTGGTAACGTTCGACCACCACCGAACAGACCCCGAAAAATCACCTATCATGAGGAATGGGTGCTTCTCTCAAGGATTTATAATGGGATTTAAGCTCTTCCTAGGCCTAAAGTGGATGTCATATATCCGATATATTGTACCGCTTCAGTAAGTATCTGACTCCGTCTGCTATACTTTATCGCTGTCATATCTTGATTGGAGCTACCCTGTCGTCACATACGTGTATTGATCACGCAGCCTTCTGGGTGATGAATTATTTTTCACTCTACAACTCCTTATCCACAGACGTAACATCGTTAGCCTCTCGTTACTCTATTGCTATTTCCATAAGATGTATTCTGACGAGCTGTAATCTTTGATCCCACCAGCCCTAACATTTGCAACTGGGATCCCCCACGCCATACCATGCCATGCATACAAGGATGAGTCATCCCATTCCTTTTGTATTCCATTAGTCAGGAGGAAGTTCCATTCAGATACCTTCTTCCCAAGAACTGATGCTTTGTGGAACAGTCTCCCGGTAATATTTTTTCCTAATCACTACAATCTTGAATTTTTAAAGTCTTAGCAGTTTCATTTCCCACATAACCCCATGCACTGTACATCTTGCTTTTTCTTACGCATATCAAAACACCTCACCGTAACCTTCTACCGTGAGGGGCTCTTGTATTTGGTGAAAATTATTATAAAAAAGAAAAAATATATATTCCTGATATAACCTTTCCTGCTGTTGCCAGAAAAAATCCAAGAGTAGTTGTCACCTCAGTGATTGAGATCCCATTTTTCAAAAACTGTTAAATCCTGTCGGTGGCCTATTCCTGCCACAAATGCACTACCTGTGTATCTCCCGTTTCTTCAGTAACGGGAAGGCGGAACCATAAAATCGTATCTATTTGAAGCACTTTGGTTTATATTACTCTCAACACACAAACAAACAGTCACCAGGAAACTTTTTGCCCTTCACGTTTATAAATATATAGAGGTGATTTGCTTCAGATGAGAATGATTTTGTAACTGTAACCCATTAGGTTCTTAAGGGCGCCATAATTTTAGCATTACCAGTGCATCGAGGACAAGCGCAGCCCAACCTTCTTCTGGTTAGTTTTCTTTCTAGAATGTATGCAAACCTTACCAAGAGATCCCAGTTATTAAGCCTATAATCGAAGGAAAAATAGATTCATGCCTTTGTCAAGGCCATTAGCGCCAAGTGAACGAAAGAAAGAAATTTAAACTCGTCTCGCCGAATTCATTTCCCGCCCTGATAATCTTTACAGTACCCGTGCATTCAAATGTTACAATGAAAGGATTACAATATACTGAACCCAATGGTAATTTTTTGCTACACTTATTTCAAAAACATAAAAGATAATATTAAACTTAATTTCACACTGTTTCGAAGTTGAAAGCGGAACAGCGGCTTCTATTACTTGATCCTCGCAAAATTATCTTTTCGACATTTACCTTTGATCTTTATCGGCAAGTAATTCGCGCGCCGAAGTAATCAAACCATTTATGAGGTTTTCAATGAACTACATAGAAAGTATTTACATGACTTAGATTATTCAAATTGTTATCCTCATTTTCATTGCCATTGTTTCTATACAATCTACTCCGGTGGGGGACATAAATGGTTCGATTCGAAAATCCAATCACCTGAAGAAGTCCAGA